TTTCATAGTCAGGACTATAGTTTTTCATAGTCAGGACTATAGTCTTTCATAGTTAGGACTATAGTCTTTCATAGTCACGACTATGGTCTTTCATAGTCAGGACTATAGTCTTTCATAGTGTTTACTATAGTCTTTCATAGTCTTTACTATAGTCTTTCATAGTCAGGACTATAGTCTTTCATAGTCAGGACTATAGTCTTTCATAGTCTTTACTATAGTCTTCATAGTCTTTACTATAGTCTTCTTAGTCTTTACTATAGTGTTCATAGTCTTTACTATAGTCTTCATAGTCTTTACTATAGTCTTCATAGTCTTTACTATATTCTTCATAGTCTTTACTATAGTCTTCATAGTCTTTACTATAGTCTTTCATAGTCAGGACTATAGTCTTTCATAGTCAGGACTATAGTCTTTCATAGTCAGGACTATACTCTTTCATGGTCAGGACTATAGTCTTTCATAGTCAGGACTATAGTCTTTCATAGTCAGGACTATAGTCTTTCATAGTCTTTACTATAGTCTTTCATAGTCTGGACTATAGTCTTTCATAGTCAGGACTATAGTCTTTCATAGTCAGGACTATAGTCTTTCATAGTCAGGACTATAGTCTTTCATAGTCAGGACTATATTCTTTCATAGTCAGGACTATAGTCTTTCATAGTCAGGACTATAGTCTTTCATAGTCTTTACTATAGTCTTAATAGTCTTTACTATAGTTTTCGTAGTCATGACTATAGTCTTCATAGTCTTTACTATAGTCTTAATAATCTTCCCCTGTTCACCATAGTCATGACTATAGTCTTCATAATCTTTACTATAGTCTTCATAATCTTTACTATAGTCTTCATAGTCATGACTATAGTCTTCATAGTCGTGACAATAACCAACGGGATAAATATACATCTTCACCCTTGCTTTAAATCATTTTACACTGACTCTTGAGAAGTGAACATGTCTTATGAATGCGACATCTGCGGTAAAACGTTTGCAAATGCGAGTAATCTCCTTCGCCACAAGAAGGTTGTCCATGCATATGGAACTCGTAATCTTGGACAGCAAACTCTTACGGTGAATGGAGTTACAGTCATGCAGCATCTCTTTACGTGCATCGTTGCAGGATGTACACAAAGCGGCAAAACCGTATGGGTGAAATCTCTCTTGGAGAATGCTCAAACGACTATAAGTCCTACTCCTCAACGTATCATTTGGTGTTATGGTCAATGGCAACCGTTCTATTTTGATATGATGAGGATAATGCCTGGAATCGAGTTTGATGAAGGCATCCCCGACAATATCGACAATGCAGATTACTTGGACGTATCGCAACGGAATTTGGTCGTATTGGATGATCTTATGGCACAATCCGACAAAGATAAACGTATTTCTGATCTTTTTACGAAAGGAAGTCATCATCGAAATTTGTCTATCATCTATAGTGTCCAAAATATATTTCATCAGGGCAAAGAAATGAGAAATATCAGCCTTAATGCTCACTATATCGTGTTGTTCAAGTCACCAAGAGATAAACAACAAATTTCTATGCTTGCAAGGCAAATAAATCCTGGGAAAGTACAAGAGTTTATGAAGAGTTATGAAGATGCTACGAGCCGGCCTCACGGGTATTTGATGTAGGATTTAAAGCCAACAACAGACGATCAACAACGACTCAAGACCAACGTACTTCTCGGCGAAATTGCAAAGTTTATACAAAAACAGTCGTATCATCAACCACCACTTGTAAACGCCATGTATGATGCCGAGCAGCGAATGAAAGAAATCATGGAAGCGCCACAGCTTAGAGCAGTGGAAAAAAGCAAATTATACTCTGATCAACTAAATCGATGGATGTCCCAGCTCAAGCTCCTGTTCAGACAACTCCACTAGTGCCTGCAGAGATACCACCACAAGCGCCTCCTACGCCTGTAATAGCGGAAATACCACTATCAGTGCCTGCTACTCCTAAACCTAATTTCCTTACGCCACCACCAACAGAAGAGGAACGACCAAAACTCAAGCGCAATTTTTTTCACAATTAGATAGACTCTACAGATTGGAGGCCTCAAGATTTGGCAATGATGACCCCTGAACAGAGAGAAGGTTACGAACAAAGATTACTTCGTGAGAGGCCGAAATATATTCCAATGAAGCACGAAGATGTTGCAAGATTATCCCCAGAAGACAGACAAGAATATGAAAACTCTTTAAAAATAACAAAAACAACTAGACGTTACGCTCTTAGAAGTAGACCGTACCTAATTTTGTAAAACGTTTTGAAGAAATATATGTATTTTAAAACTGAAATATTGTGCAAACATTTACCTGCAAAGCCCGCTCTTTCCGCCCGCGCGACCCGCCCGCCTGATTAGTGTACAAATATGTTGTACTTTAATATATGCATGCACCCGCAAAGACGCGCGTTAAAAATAATCCCTATCTATCCATCGGGATACACTTAGTTATGCAAATTCTTATTACCTTAATCCCCTTAATTACCTACACGCCTCCTAATGACTTAGCAACGCATAGCAACGTATATAACAACCGCATATTTGATAAAAAATATATTTATTTTTATGGCAAAATATATTACAACTGTTCTAATTCTAACTTCTACTCTTGATAAGCTTTCTTATGGTCATTGCTGCCGCAGCGAGCGAGCCTGAAGCGAGCGAGCAAGGCAGCAGATCCTAATTTTGTTTTGTGGGTCGAAATCAAAATTTTCTATCTGGCGCATTGCATGACGGTACCAGTGAATTTTAACCGTGGTGCAGCGCGGTCAGGCATAAGGCAAACAGGCAATGTGATCATCTTTCATCTTTGGTCTTCTTTTATGGAAAGCCATAGCTGGCCTAGAGTGATCAAACGGCATTTTGTTGGGTGCTTTTAGCATTATACGGCAATGCTTTCGGCATTATACACGGTGCTTTCGCCATTATACGCGGTGGTTCCAGTATTATACGCGGTGCTTTCACCATTTATATACGCGATGCTTTTGCAATTATACGCAGTGGTTCGTCGAGCACTATATGCGGTGACTATATGCGGTGCTTTTAATATTATACGCGATGCTAGTTTTCATTCAACATTATTTCCATATTCTTTCCATGACCTGTATATGATTTAACGATTGCTTAAATTTGGTATGTGGTTGACAAATGCTTTTTGTCTATGGTCTGCATGGACAATGACATGCTTTTCTGTGTATATAAATGAATATAACGCAGCGAATACGCCAAACAGTATAAACGCGGCTGAAATACGATATTAAAATCTTAAATGTGCCGTATGATTTAATTATGTTTTAGGATTTACAAATGCTTTGTCATTTGTGTTTATACTTGTACTGCATCACAAGGCAGTACGTAAGTGAAAAAATTCCACATGTGAGATTGTCTTGTATACATTTTTGCTTTCTTTGATAAGTAAGAGTTAATTGGCTGTTTGCTGTTGGATTCTATAATTAGATCAGTGATTCATCACAAAGGCTCTCGATAAGCTTAAAATTCGAAAATTGATCGCTTTTTTCGATTATAAATGGAACAAGAACAGACTGTCTATTGTTTACTTGAAGGAAGAGATGTTTTTGGCGTTATGCCAATGTGGATTGCTTGTCGCGAGGTGTTGGAATAGCAGCATTACGATTTACGACTGGGGTAAACTATAGTAACCTTTACTTGAGTTTCATTAATTTCAAACAGACTTGATAAGTTATATATGTTCCTCAAGAAAATTATCATTTGGTTGATGTTGACTCTGTTCTTGCACTGAAGAAAACGCGGTGAAGATTTAGAGGCAGTTGCATGTAAGCCTATTCGAAACACTTTGCGATTTACAAGGCTTCGCTGAGAGAGCGAAACAGAAGACGGTATTAAATTGCCGTTTCAAACGATCTGGACTCTGAACGCTCTCTTCTTCATGTAGAGTTCTTTACCAAATGAAATAACTGAAATAAATTTCGTACTTTCCGCCGCCAACAAGAATTGCACACACGATCTGATGAGACAAATTATTTATAACAATGGCGACAGCGCGAAGCACACATTATAAACGCTAATGTACAGTAGTCGCACGACTTCCTTCACGATTTGAAGTTTGAGACTGGTTTTCTGTTGAAATTCGTCCTAATTTGCCTGTTCCGATTTTAGTTGAAAATGAGCACTTGCAAATTTGGCAATTACTGACTGCGTTGCTTGCTTTTTTGGAGTTAAAACGCAGCCATTTACACATTGTTTATGTTCTGAATAAGCAGAGAAAACCCCGCAACATTTTAATGTGAGTTTGTTTGTTAATATTTGGGTGCTGTCATTGGTTCTTTTTTGACAATTGACGCGCGAATGGAGCGTGTTATGAAAAGGGGCGTTTTACAAAATACCGGGCCTTACTTGCAGGCCCACTATCAGTTCCCTTGGGCCTGCACGCGGACTAGAACATGTTAGGCTAAAACTGCTTATTTAGACCCCCCTTTATCTAAGAATCTGTTTAGGCTAAAATTTCAAAGAGGTTCCTATTTAATTTTTTTCACACTAAGAATTTAAAGTAAAAATTTATAAATCAAAGAAAATAAACTCTTCACAAAGTAATGAAAATGACCCAGTATAGTAAGAGTCCTGGATATGTCGTAACAATAAACAGAATGTTTGCGTTTGAACACATCAACAAAAAATACTGTACCTACACCATACATGCAGTCGCTTTTTCTTTAGATAATAAGAACCTATTGAAGAACCTGTTTAGCCTAATTTCACGATAAGCACCATTTATATAAGAACCTGTTTAGGCTAACTTGAAAAATCTAGTTGTATACGCGGGGTCTTACTGCATGTATTATATGTAACATAATATTTAATAAAACTCGTGCTACACAATTCCTGGAGTAGTTAGTATACGTATTGTTAACAAAGACCTTCCTCGTGTAAGCCATTCTACTAATGTGATAGCGATTATTTAATTTGTAAGGTATCCAGCTGCTATTAATTGTACTAATTTTATCTTATATATAGATTCTCAAGAAAATCATGAATCCAGAGGAGAAGTCGAATTTTATCGGTTTTAAAATACCAAGCTATAGAGATGGTACGTTATATTTTAAAAACATGGCTGCCCACGTGTTGCAGGTCATAATAATTAAATTTTTAATAATTAATAAATATAATTCAATCGATTTTCCACTGTATTTATATAATACAAAAAAAGAGGGATTAACTAAGATATCAACAAATTAAATAAAATACAGTGAAGATGGAATAAAAAGGAATAACATGAACCATACTAAGCTATTCCACCCTGAAAAAATATATACAGGATGTATAAAAAAACTGAACAGATTTGAAATGGCTCTCAATTTCGCAAAACACCTATTTGTATCCGGTTTTATATATATATATAGCTTCTTTGGGTACTTATAATGTAGAATAATGAAAAAAATTTCTCGAACTCAAATTTTGTGAACCAGGGGGGGTGTCTTTTTCAACAAACTAAAAATGGCTCGCGCACAAAATTTAAAAGCTGTAATCATATTTGAATTAATAGATGGAAACTTTGTCGGGGTTTTAATTACTGTACAAAATTTCAGACAATTTGGTTTAGTTTAAGCCTTTAACTATTCATTTTGTTCTAAAAAATCAGCCTTTCGCATGCTTAATTAATGCCTTTACCTAATTTGCATATTGCTGACATATGCAAATTAGGCAAATGCATTAATTAAGCATGCAAATAGCTGATTTTTCGGGAAAATTGTAACTTTGCGTGAATAGTTAAGGGCTTAAACTAAACCAAATTGTCTGAAATTTTGTACAGTAATTAAAATCCCGACAAATTTTCCATCTGTTAACTCAAAATATGATTGCAGCTTTTAAATTTTGTGCGCGAGCCATTTTTAGTTTGTTGGAAAAGACACACCCCCCTGGTTCACAAAATTTGAGTTCGAGAAATTTTTTTCATTATTCTACATTATACATACCCAAAGAAGCTATATATATAAAAAACCGGATACAAATAGGTGTTTTGCGAAATCGAGAGCAATTTCAAATCTGTTCATTTTTTTTTGTATAGCAAAAGTAAGAAATATACAAAAAACAAAATAAGTTCGGTCAGACAGCCCAAGAAGCATGGGACCTATCAGGATCGTAAGTTAATGTTTTATAATAACTATTATTATTATTATTATTATTATGAACAATATTTTAAAAATAAATATTTTAAAAGAAAACAAGAACCTATTTAAGAACCTGTTTAGCCTAATTTCACGATAAGCACCATTTAGGCCTATATAAGAACCTGTTTAGGCTAACTTGAAAAATCTAGTTTCTTATACGCGGGATCTTACTGTATTATATGTAACATATTTAATAAAACTCGTGCTACACAATTCCTGAAGTAGTTAATACGTATGGTTAACAAAGACTTTCCTCATGTAAGCCATTGTAAGCCAGTGAGGATGGAATAGAAAGGAACAACATGAACCATACTAAGCTAGTCCACCCTGAAAAAAAATAATAGCAAAAATAAGAAATATACAAAAAAACAAAACAGCACATAAAGGTCCGACAGCCCAAGAAGCATGGGGCCTATATCAGGATCGTAAGTTAATGTTTTATAATATTTATTATTATGAACAATATTTTAAAAATAAATATTTTAAAGAAAATAAGAACCTATTTAAGAACCTGCATTTAGCCTAATTTCACGATAAGCACCATTTATATAAGAACCTGTTTAGGCTAACTTGAAAACTCTAGTTTCTTATAAGCGGAGTTTTACTGTATTATATGTAACATATTCAATAAAACTCGTGCTACACAATTCCTGGAGTAGTTAGTATACGTATATGGTTAACAAAGACTTTCCTCATGTAAGCCATTCCACTAATGTGATAGTGATTATTTCACCTAATAAAAATAACTATTTATAAAAAGAAAAAAGGTGATCTTCCAACTGGCCGTGCTCACACAAGTAGAAATATATTATTTACGAAGATTATTTTAAATAGATAGAAACAATTAATGGCAGGATTACTTGATGTTAATTTGCATGTTCCAAGTAAAACTTTCAAGTTAAACTATACACGACTTCTTGAAATGCCTAAACTAATATTAGTAGTTCTTATTTGGCAGATACACAATTCTATTGAAATAGGTGTTCTTAAACAATTCAGTCCTACATTTAGGGACCTTTAATTTGCCTAGAATCAGAACAAAATTCCGATGTTAACCTAGAATCAGAACAAAATTCCACGTGGGTGAGCTCCCTGCAATGGACGAAAGGGAGGATATCTAACTGCCGTAGACGTTCTGGGACGCCTTTGCACTCTCTCAATTAATTTAATCATTGTAACTGACTTGGGATTCCAGACCTCTGAGGCATACTCAAGATGTGATCTTGCAAGTATAATATACAAAGACTTCATATTAGGAAGAAGATACCTTTCTCTAGCAACAGTACGATTAATAAAACCCAGCATCTTGTTGGCTTTATTAACTTGCGTATAAATATCATCATGATATTTCAGTAATTTCACATTATTGGTCATAAGAACACCCAGATCACAGTATAATCAGAACACAGTATAATCAAATACGATAGACCTTATTCATAAATCGCAATCGGGGACTCGTATCCTAGGAAACGGGAATAAACGCGGGAAAACAAGCGAAAACTGCTTGACAAGCCAAATTCAGATGTTATATTGTGTCGAATTCAACGGCTTGTTTCTTGTTGCTTATTTCGATTTATCACGATTTTTGTGTGTATTTTAAGACCTTGTGTCCACACTGAAAGCTGTAAACGAGTATATTATAAAAACGACCGGTTTTTCTCCCATTATTTGTGTGGAAAATATGACAATGTAGCGATGGTGGACATGGTGTTGCAGAAGCGAAAAACAGTATTTTCATGAGATTGTAACGTCAATAGGCTATAGGTTACTCCGTGAAAAATCAAGACAACTATGGAATAAAAGTATAATTTTTGAATTTGACATTAATATGAAAGAAAACAAGAGGTCAAAAATCACAAAAGAACGAACAAATGTTATTGATTCGCACGGAAAATATATGAACTAGCTATGCCTGTGGCTCGATGACATTCTGCAAGCAGCTTACAAGTTTAAAAAAAGAAAGCTACATTACCTGAGTGAGTTGTTGTAATCTTATTTCTTCAACAATATAGTTTCATATTTCTTATGATTTTGGTGTTGTTGACGTTTTGTAGCCTTGTTGGTTGTTTGTCTTGACCATACAAACTACGACAAGTCGACAATAGTACAAAATTTAAGGTTTCCTTTTCCGATTGACTCCAGCGTCTTTTACGTTAAATATCATGTGTTTTTTTCTCAGAAGTATTATTTCAACTTTCAAGCTCAGTTTTATACTAGATAATATTTTCGAAAAAAGCTGTAATATTTTCGGAAAAAAGCTGCCATAGCCGACAGCAAAAAATATTTTTTCAATTTGCCCGCGTTTTTCCCTGTATCCTAGGATAGGAGGCCTCGATCACGATTTATGAATAAGGTCTATAGGAGCACGTTTTCTTGTTATCGTAGAAATAGTAGACGTTTCTGCGTTGAACGGTAGTCTCCATTTTTCACTCCAGGTAGTAAGATGATCTAAATCAGTTTGTAATTCCAAGCAGTCGCTATCAGTCTCAATTGCATGAAGACACTTAACATCATCAGCAAACAGAGCAATTGTACTTGTATCCGACGTAACGTCGGGCAAATCATTGATAAATAAAACAAATAGGACAGGTTCCAGAATGGAGCCTTTTGGAACTCCCGACGTCACTCCATGGAATCCATTCAGACGATTTTCCATCGATTACAACACGTTGCTTTCTACCATGTAGATAGTTCGCAAACCATTTAAGTAGGGGACCTTTAAATCCGGCTAAAGCTAAATCTAGCTTATGAAGCAGAAACTAGTGGGATACGGAATTACAATTATTACAAATACATAACATAACTATGAACTAGCATAGTGACAGGATGCCGTAACAGGATAAATCCCAATTGATAACGGCACCCTTTATACATAAAATATATAAAATATTCAGATATATTACAAGGTGGAGTATAAGTTCATGGTGGACTATGAATATTCACTGGAAGTAATTTTGCTTATGTTTATAAAGCAGTAAATTTGTCATTAGTGTTTATAAACATGATCCCAGTCTTAAATTTGTACAGGAAAAGATCACTCAACTGTCTGCGATATATTGCTCATTAAGAGTGAAGAGACTGAAGAGAGCACTTCTTTTGAAGAGATAAAAAACTGATCTAGAGTCAGGTTCATTATCTTACTCGGAAGTGTCGCAATTGCTTATAACAAAAGGGAGCTTTCAAGAATGCGGCATGAAAGACCGCAGCGTATTCTGGAGCTTGTTGCTCTTTTCATTGCCAAATAGAAATAAATTCTGTTTTTCTTCATTCAGCAATTTTCTTTGTTCCTTTTTTCGCGAAATACGTACGTACTGTCGTATGAAGTCCATAAAATCACAACACTGCTTAATTATAATGCATGCTGTTGTACTGTTTTCCATATACAACATGAGTATGTGGCTCCTTAATTACATATTTGCATGTCTGTTTATTTGTTAGGCCGAAAGATCAGACCTAGTTCACCTGAAAGATATGACGGATTCACCGCTGAGGTATTTAGCAACTTCTTATTAAGCTTTAATCAAGGGAGGTTTCAAAACGTTTGCTTCAATTTTGAGGGGGAGGGAGTTGAAAAGGTTTTTAACCAATATTTTCTCATTTGCCAACTTCCCTTGGGTCTCTTTTTTATGTGTGATAATTTATAGCAAAGGATGCAGTTTCGTTCTATTCAACACATGGTGCGAAATTTGAATTTTATCGCAATATATTTGCCGATAATTCGGTAACCGCTACAGGAAAAGAGAACAAATTACAGTAAATAAAACAGACTCAGAAGGGGGAGCAGTGGGACACATTTTGTATTTTGACTGGAACATTGCAGATTACAGAGTTGTATCCGACGAAGGCTAACACTGGAAAAAAATAGTGAAATCCACTATGGAATTTGCAATTGCATCACTTAGTGCATATAGTATATCCATATTATTTCCATACTGTATCCATAGTATGGAAATTGCAATTAGTATATATGAAAATTAGATTTCCGTACTATTTCCAACGAAGATCCATGCTATTTCCATAGTAAGGTTTTGAAAAAGACTTCCAGTGTGACTCAACTTCCAGTGTGAGACAACAATGCATTTCTATTTCGATGTTATATATGTTGCTTTTACTGTTTAAACAATTTATCTGTCCAATAATTTAATTGTTAACAACTTACTTAATTAAGGTTATATCAATTTTTCATAATATTTCACGGCATTGGAACAACTGCTTACTTTTCATATTTTATTTAGACGTCAAAAAACCCTCGCGAGCTTGCAGTTGTTCCTTCGCTGCATCGCTGGCTCAAGTGCGCAGGAAAGGAAGGTAAGTAAGTATTCAACAGACACTACCCAGAGTCGAACTCGCATATACTCAGGGGTGGAAAAAATAATTTTCTTCCTGCGAGCACAGTAAGAAGATTATAAATTTCCTGCAGACCTGCAGTGTGTAGATTATGACCATGTCAAATATAGCGCTATAAATTGTAGCTACCTGTATAATGCACACGTGATTGGTGATTATGGTTTTAACTAAGGAATGATCATTCTTTGCACTTTTTGCAGTTTTATTTTGTGGGCAGGCTCACAGCAAACGCATGTTATCACTTATCATTTATCCTTATAATTATTGAAATAGACTAAAAAGAGTAATATTTTTGTGGTGTATATAGAATCTATTTACAAAGTCGAAGTGAACTACTGTAATAACTCACATAATACTGAGTAGGCTAGCTTAAATCATACAATTGCATCAACAGTTCGACTGCTTAATGCTTATACGTTTAACCAAATAGAAACTTTACATAACACAGTGAAGTAGATATTTGCTTAACATGCACCCTATTGTGTAACGAAGGGCAATCTCGATTCTTGTGAGATGATTCTGTTTATAACTTTGCTGTTATAAAGTTTACTCTGCTCTCCTTTTCTTGTTACAAAATGCCAGTTTCCATGCCTGAAATACTTTGACAAGGCTGAAGATAAGATGCGATCAGCACCACCAAGCTCTGGGCCGTTGCAGGCAATCCACAGCTCATTGTTCACAGCTTCCTCGGACATACTTCTTAGTTTACTGTTGTGCGTATTGTAGCGCGAAATAACTGATTCAGCAATAGACTCAACAGTCATTTTGATTGCTGCAACA